GGTGGCTGACATCATACAATCCCCTCCACAGTTCCAATTATACATTTATAAAAACCCAAAACACTTCCTAGAAGTCTAAAATCTCTGATTTCTTGTTGCTATTTTGCATCCAATCTTCTCACTGAGCTTAGACTAATACAAAGATCAATGAAACATTGACATATTAAAATTGAAACATAGGAATATTGGATAGATCTTTTTAACATACAAATACAATGGGATTTGTATTACAGTTTAATTTATAAAACAACTATTGATTCTTATGTAAGAGTATTTCAGTATAAATTGTTACATAACTTTCTTGCTCTCAAAAATTGATTCTTATGTAAGAGTATTTCAGTATAAATTGTTACATAACTTTCTTGCTCTCAAAAATAAGTTATATAGATGGAACTTAGCAGAGGACTCATTATGTTCTTATTGTAATTTGGAAGAGGAGACACCTTTACACATTTTTTGCCATTGTACCTCTCTTGTGAGGTTTTTGGGGGATGTGGAGTTTTGGATAAAACAACATGTTGATACAGAAATTAAGCTCACACCCAGAATTATCATATTAGGCATATCAGTTAATCATCCTATTGTCCTTAATATATTGTTATTGATATTAAAGCTCTCTCTATATAAAAACAGACAGTTTAAGTTGCGCTTTACATGTTATGTTAAATACTATCATAGACTAGAATATGTGATAGCACAAAACTGTGGGAAAATGGATAAACATATGTTGAAATGGGGTCCACTATATGGTACATTGTTAGACTGATGTATTGTTTGCAAATGTCTCTGGGTATTTATTTTCTTGTATGTGAACATGTCCTTTGTCTTTATTCTTTGAAATTACAATAAAGATTATTTGGAAAAAAAAAGATCAATGAAACATGAGCTGAACATTCAGCATTGTTCATTTTAATTCACTTGTGTTGATGGTTTATATTTTGGAACATAATTTGGTCAGAATTCAATTCTATGGAAACCTTTTGTGCAGTACTCAAGAGGTAAAATGTAATGCTTAATGATTAAGAAGGAGGCAAACCTTATATACATTATATTATGTACATAAAAAACATGAATAAGTTTACAATTCAATGTGAGTTTACAAAATTAAAATTATCCCAGTGTAGCAAGCAGGTGCAGCAAATAAAAATGTATCCCTGGCCAGAATGTAGACTGGAATATACCCAGGGCATATTCTGGTGTTTCAGCCAAGTTATCCTGATACAAATAGCAAAAAAAAATGATTTGAGCTTGTTTTGTTGTTGGGATAAGTGGCTGAAAGTGTGGTGGAACAGAGCTGGTGATGAGTTTGTACATGTGGTTCTGGTCTTGACAAGTTGCAAGTTTTTCTCATCCAAAATCATGTAGCACATCTGTGTAAGGTGTCTGTGGTGCTGGGCTTATTTTACTCATTACTAGCAGTAAACATATTGATGATATTTTATTCAGGAATGTTTGGCTGTGCTTGGATGGCTTTCAGCACCAAGGACAGATATTGTACCATCTAGCTATGGTAACTAGGGACAAGACAGTATTTGTAGCTAGTGTTCAGGAACAGAAATGTTTGGCTTAGTATGTGTGGATGGCTTTCAGCACCAAGGACAGGTATTGTACCATCTAACTATAGTAACCAGGGACAAGACTGTTTGGCTGTTTGTAGCTAGTGTTCAGGAACAGGGGTGTTTTTAGGAAAGAGTATGTTGGTCAAACATATACATGTACCACTACCAGTGGACTAGCCCCCTGCTGTAGTGATTGCACAACTGTGCGGCCCAACGGCTACTGAACTGGGGATATGTGTCGCTCTATGCACCATGTGGTGCGGGAAGGACTTGGAACTTAGTATGACTCATACTATTGAGTACCATTGCAGATTTTCAACCAGGTAGTCATTCTATTGGTACAACAAGATGCTCTTGGTTCATTATGTACAGATTTGTTTATTTGCATTTACGAAATGCTATGAGTTCACTTATTTGTTCACCATTATTGTATATAGCTTACCTTTATTTGCGTTCATATTTTGTTTGGATTCTGTTATCTGTTCCTTTGATCGTCTTTTGTTTATGTATAATTTATTGAATCGGTGTCGTATAAGCCCACACGGGCTGGGCGCGGGATAGCGCACGACACGGAAATAAAGTATCATTCATTCATTCATTCATTCATTCATTCATTCATTCATTCATTCATTCATTCATTCATTCATTCATTCATTCATTCATTCATTCATTCATTCAGAAGCAAGTCTGTCCCCTGTATTCAGAGATGGAGTCTGAAGCTTAGTTTTCCTCTGCCTTTTATCTTGCTAAATCTGTACTTGGAAATACTTGATGTGGCCCTAATATTTGAGCAAGATGGATACAAAGTTATGCTCCTTCAACACCACAAGCTGCCCCTCCCCACCTGTAGCAACACGTCTAGGCTTCCACACGTAAGCCACAGTGCGGATGTGTTTTCCCTCAGCTGTGAACATCTCCAATTTGCTGTTCCGATAATCACCTATAATTACTCGGCCAAATCTGTCCACAGTGATTCCTGAGGGATAGAAAAGATCCCCTGCCTTACTGTCAAAACTGGTAAGATAGACTAGATTCTTGTCATACTTTCGAACAGGGCTGTTTAGCCTGTGTGTGATGAAGATGTTTCCTTTCTCATCCACGGCAATAGACCGCCAAAATGGTGTTCTTTGTAATGACCCAAATGTGCTCAACTTTGGTGCCTGTGTCAGTGTGTAAGTAGGTCTAAACCACACATCCTCTATGCAGGCTCCTTTTTTACCGGCATAGACACGTGCTATTGTTAGTATGATCCTGTCAGAAAGCTTGTGCCAGGCAAGCCCAGTGATAAGAAGCTTGCCCGTGAAGATACACTTGGAAAGAACATGGCCCTCTTTGCTGTACTGACGGACGGTATGTCCAGTGTAGCCATCTTTCTTGTTACAGTACAAAGCTACCCACAGGGTATCGTTGCGGCCGTTGGATATGGCATGTGGTTTCAAGTTTCCTGTGGAGAAATTGCGAAGAAAGACTCCCTTCATGTTGAAGACTTGGATTCTTTTGTTGCGTTCGTCAGTCACAAATATCTCGTTAGTCGAGGACACGGCAAGTCCTCCCACATTCTGAAACTTGCCGGGTACTGTTCCTGCCCCACCAAAGGTGATCCTGTCTTTCTTCTCTGTTTATAAAACAATAGTAAAACACTAATTGAAGTGGGCACCAATTTCTAGACTAAGGCCACACCAATTTAATTTCTTGGTTAACGGATTTTTCCAGAAAAATAATGGAGCGGGCGGGCGAAAAAAAAAAAATATATAAACAGGCCTAGGCATCTTATTATAGCCCAAAATGGTACTATAGGAGCCATGAAGTCAACACACCAGGCTGGTTCAAAATTTAAACAATGAATTTTTAACTTTTGATGATACCATTGCATTGAAAGATGGAATAACTGTAACAACTAGGATGAAAAGGCCTGTTTTCAACTGTTCAGGGCAAAATATGAGCATTTTGCAGTTGATTCTGAATTTTTATTTTTATTTGCAAATCAGAAAAAAATGAAGCGGGCGAATCCGTTAACCAAGAAATTAAATTGGTGTGGCCTAAAGATAACATAATTACATGTACTGGTGCAGTATATTTACATAATCATTGTAAATCCTATCCCAAGCATGACCATTTCGACAGTTGAGCACTTCAAAATTAGGAAAAATTATAAGTTGTAGATCTTTTTTTTATGAAGATGTATGAATCCTTGTAGAAACTAAGAAAGACAACAACTTTAAAAAAACACTAAAAAAGACATTAGACAGTAAAAAATGACATCTGATAAGTGACCAAACATGGTTTTAGATCTATACCTTTACCACTGTACCAGGTAATGTTCAAGGCACGAGTAGAACAAGAATTTAACAGAAGAGAAAATACTTTTGCCCACCTTCACAGTGATGCGTTACCTCCAGGTACTTGCTTTTGTACAAACAGGGGTCACGGAATTTCTCACTCTCTACTCCCACTTCACACTGTGGTAAACCCTGGCATTTTTGTCTTACAATGGACTGGGCACTGAGTGTTAAAAAATACAAGATGTTTCAAGCTGTCAGTAATTGTAATGGAAAGCAATCTTTTAAATAAATTTGACACTTTTGAAAAGCTTTAAAAAATATTGAATGTAATTAATCAGAGAGGTGTGAGTTTAAAATGTGGAGGTCTTTCACACAAATTCACAATGATTCTCTGTGAAATCTATGATACAAGACATCTCAACTACAACAGTACAAATGTCTAATATAGTCTATATATTAATAATCGTAGTTTATAAAACATTAGTCTAACAGAGTATAAGAAAGTTACTGTATCCATGGACCTACAAAATTGAGGGTCCTTCTTATGCTAATAAATGTCCCAAGTATGGGAGTATAGGAGTCACAATGAAAACTCGTGCAAAGCATAGAAACCAGTAGTTTCTTTTGGAACTATGACAAGCAAAAACCCAAACTCTGAAACAAAAGACAAGTTGTTATTAGGCCACACCAATTTAATTTGTTGGTTCTCGGATTCGCCTCTTCATTTTTTTCTGATTTGCAAAAAAAAAAAAAGATTCTGGTTCTGAATCAACTCAAAAATGCTCATATTTTGCCCCCAACAGTTGAGGAAATTCCTTTTCTTCCTAGTTGTTACAGTTTTTTCCATCTATCAATGCAGTGGTTTGATTAAAACTTCAAGATTTATACTTTAAATTTTAACCCAGCCTTTTTTGTTGACTTTATGGCTCATATTGTAGCATTTGGGGCTATAATAGGATGCCTAGACCTGTTTTTATTTTTATTTTTTTTTGACCTGTCGCTTCATATTTTTTCTGAAAAAATCTGAGAACCAACAAATTGAATTGGTGTGGCCTTAGAATTGTAGTTGCAGCCATGAAGCATCTAGAGGACTGATCTTTTAGAGGGTGTAATTTAGATTTAGGAATGGTGCTCCTACTTACTGTTTTTCTGTTTACAGTTGGTGTCACATTTCCGGAGCCAGTTACATCCGCAGCGAGGTTCTTTTTCCCTCCGACCGTAGAAGGCATCGTCAATCACGATCAACTCATCCGCTGCACAAGCCATCCGTATGATCTCGCAAGCTTTTTCTGTATCTGTGATAGTATCTTACCTTTAGGCCACACCAATCTAACTTGTTGTGAATTTTCACTGAAAAACTACAAAGCATGAATAACAAATCCAAGAACCAACAAATCGAATTGGTGCGGCCTTAGAAAATAATATGTGTAGGCTAATGTTTCTTCTGTACTTACGTTTTTTATAGTTGGGTGGGTTGGTACCACCGATTTCCTGAAGGTTGGGTGGGTTGGGACCATCTGTAGTCCCAGGGCTGAGTGGGTTGGTACCATCGATAGTCCCAGGGCTGGGTGGGTTGGTACCATCGGCAGTCCCAAGGATGGGTGGGTTGGTACCATCAATAGTACCAAGGCTGAGTGGGTTGGTACCATCGATAGTCCCAAGGATGGGTGGGTTGGTACCATCAATAGTACCAAGGCTGGGTGGGTTGGTACTATCAATGGCCCCAAGGATGGGAGGCTTGGTACCATCGATGGCCCTGGGTGGGGTGGTACCATTGATAGTCCCAATTTTGGGGTTGGTACCATCAAAGGTCTGGATGATAGCTATAGTGTATTTAGTTATGCTTGCCACTTCTGTTGCATTCAATGTGGTCAAGTTGTGGACTTCTTTTACAGGACTAGCCTGGAAAAAACAGCAACAAGAGGAAATGTTAATATATATGAGTGTGTGAGAACCTATGATGTACGTACCTATTATGTTCTATACACTTAGGATACGGCATATTTTTGACGTTTACGGGTCAGGAAAAATACAAAAAACCTTCATTGTATCACTTATTTAAAATTTTTAAGTCTGCTAGAGGATTTAATAATTAAAATGTTAAAAGGCAGTCAAAAGCTAGTGCATAATTAGGTTTTGCTGACATTCCACCTCATTTTATTCCAATTGTGTACCCAAACTTTGTTCTTTGCATTTACATTTTTAGGTGCACCGGTGCTCCTACTCCCAAATATGAATTTCAAGCCCTGCAAAAAAAAAAAGATTTGCCTCTTAGGTTGGTACTATGATCTAGGGTACCTGATGGGAGTAATAAATGAATGAAATATATTATGTAAAAGGTGTAGATTTGAGGTCCAACAGATGGCCTTACATTTTGCATTACCTGTGTATTGTAATTGGCCCCTGTGATGATTCCATATGTCAGTCCTCCAGTTAAGCACAAGATAACCACCAAAGTAGTGAGAAAGCAATTTGGAATCCCTGCAAAATAGCCTTTTAGGCCACACCAATTTAATTTCTTGGTTAACGGATTTTTAAAGAAAAATAATGGAGCGGGCGGGCGAAAAAATAATAAAAATAAAAACAGACCTAGGCATCCTATTATGGCCCAAAATGGTACGATAGGAGCCATGAAGTCAACATACCAGGCTGGTTCAAAATTTAAGCAATGAATTTTGAACTTTGAATGATACCACTGCATTGAAAGATAGAATAACTTTAACTACTAGGATGAAAAGGACTGTTTTCAACTGTTCAGGGCAAAATATGAGCATTTTGCAGTTGATTCTGAATTTTTATTTTTATTTGCAAATCAGAAAAAAATGAAGCGGCGAATCCGTTAACCAAGAAATTAAAATGGTGTGGCCTTAAAAACAAATTTTTAAAATTGTCTTCCATCCATGCAGGGCACAGACACAATAATTAAATAAATCAGCAAGGCTACACCATCTTAATTTGTTGTTTCACTGGGTTCCCCGCTTAATTTTTTTTCTGATTTGCCAAAAAAAGCATTTCTGCCATTGAGTCAACTGTGCCACTGAGTCAAAAAACTTTTTTAGGGCCCAACAGTTCAAAGAAGTCCAATTCTCTTCAGAGTTGTTACAGTTTTTCAATCTATCTTTTGATAAAACGTTTGATTCAAATTTTTAATTTCATTGTTTGAATTACATGCCAGCCTACCATACCATCATAGGATGCCTAGGTCTGTTTTTATTTTTTCTCTTACCCTGTTGCTTCATATTTTTCTGCAAAAATACAAAAAAACAATAAATCAAATTGGTGTGGCCTAATTAACCAGAAAAAAAGAGAACCAGAAGATAACATTTGATTACAAACATGACAACATGTAGTAAAAAATGTATGAACAACAAGGTATAGACCTAAATCTTTAAACAGTTACTGTAATAAAACAAAACCGTCCCCTTAGGCCACACCAATGTAATTTCTTGGTTAACAGATTTTTCTAGAAAAATAATGGAGCGGGCGGGCGAAAAAAAAAAATAAAAACAGGCCTAGGCATCCTGTTATGGCCCAAAATCGTACGATAGAAGCCATGAAGTCAACACACCAGGCTGGTTCAAAATTTAAACAATGAATTTAGAACTTTTCATGATACCATTGCATTGAAATATGGAATGACTGTAACAAGTAGTAAGAAAAGGACTGTTTTCAACTGTTCAGGGCAAAATATGAGCATTTTGCAGTTGATTCTGAATTTTTATTTTTATTTGCAAATCAGAAAAAAATGAAGCAGCGAATCCGTTAACCATTAGAAATTAAATTGGTGTGGCCTTACCATGATGTTCCTTAACGTTTGGAGGATTGTGAACCTTGTGTACATCAGAGTCAGGCCTGGTGTCATCTGAGGCCTGTTTGTGATCAGGTCTGTTCACTGGTTTTCGATGTTCCGGAAGTTCCTCTGCATTTGTAGGATTGGGAACCTCGTGTACATGTACATTGGCATCGTGACTAGTGTCATCTGAAGCCTGTTGGGAGACGTTTTCTTCGTATATCGGGTTTGGAAATTCTTTTTCGTGAGGCCCAAAACAAGCTGTTGTGGTGTTCATGAGATAGTTTTCGTGTTCGGACATGTTTGCAACAGAGTAAGGTTCCATGTCACTATCGTCAGCCACTGTACTGTCTTCTTGCATGACTTTAGGTTCGAATTTTTCGTCAATGTTTTCAATAGCGTTAGCATCTTCTTCATTTTCCCCCGAAGCAGCGTACATGGCAGAGTTTTCATCTTTGGTTGTATCAGATACAGAATATACATGAGTGTCTTCTGGGGTGGGGATGTTGTTATTATCTGTCTGTCCGCATGTTGACATTCTTGTTGGATTTGCAGTGTTTTCAGTGTATAGCATATTCTGATCAGAATGTGAATTATCATCATTTTGATCTGGGCTTGTCGACTCCTCTGGATGGTTTGTAAGATATATCGGATTGTTCTCTCTTTCCTGGTTCATTGTGACTCTATTGGAGGCTCTATTGGCATAAAGACAGCATGAGAGTGCAGTTAAAATCTAGACATTATTCGAATGAAAGCTCATCTGTGTTGGTAGAATCCATAGTTAAAGAGTTTGACTTGTTCCAACACAAAAAGGGAACATCAAATATAGTTCAAACACATCGGAAGTGTCGCAACACATACACATCGAGTCCCCCGGACATACAGTTACATTGGACAAGGTGCGCATTCTAGATACGGAGCAGGATTACTTTGTGAGAGGCGTAAAGGAGGCAGTTTACATCAGGGCCCACCAACCCTCTCTGAACCGTGATGGTGGGAGATACCGTCTTCCCGCCACTTTTGATGCACTCCTGACGTCATCACGTTTCCGACTTCCGGAAAGTCAGCGACTGCATCACAAATCTGACGAAGGTTGACGGGATCAGCCGAAAATTTATGGTGAGTTCCCTTTTTGTGTTGGAACAAGTCAAACTCTTTAACTATCTAGACATTATGTCAATGATCAAGTGTTCAGCTCAAGGCTTTAAGCAGGACAGACAGGACATTGTGAGGGCATGGGTTCTGTCCTTGAAATTCCTGGCTACACATTGTGTCCTTGGGAAAGGCACACACAACTTTCCTCACTCCATCCAGGTGTATCATAATATAAACTATGGTATAATTGAAAAGATGGAAAAAAATAGATACCTGAACCACTGTTTACTTTCTGCAAAATATGACATCTATAAGAGTACAGCATTGAATAAGAAACCTTATTTCTGTAATGCATTATTTTCATGATTTTCGTGACAAACATTCTGCGTAAAATGTCACAGCACAAATATGTATTCTGTGTATTAGTATATTTGTATTAAGAGGGGCTTGCCACACTGTTTTCTTTTTGCTGTATGTACATCTCTTAGATAAACGAATAAAAAAAAAATAATAATAATAATATAAACTAAGTACCTCAGACTAGAGTCTACAGTAGGAGAGGCCCCACCATATCCTATACTTTGCCAAAACAGTGTGGATTGAACACCCATTCCTCCTATGGCCTCAACGGCTGTGGGACCTATCTAAATATCCCTTTACCCACTGGTTAGATCTTAATGTAAGGAAGATTTGTTTCCTTTTGCTCTATGAAAGACCACTTCTAGGCACTAAACTAAGTTCACTTATCAGGAACACTATCTCTTCTCCCATATATGCTGCTAAGGCCATGTTGATTTGATTATATGGATGACATCCTCTGGGAACCCCAAAACTGATGCACGCGTGCGAATAAAAAAAAAAGTTTTGCAAAAAAAAAAGTTGCTTTCACTATGAAATCTACGTGGTCAAGAAGGTGGAACAGATGTCACAGAATATGTTGTGTCGAATAATCTACTCTTCGAATTCATTTCTTTACATTTTTGTCCTTTTTCCTTTGATTTTGGCAGTCTACGACATTGGTATCGTTTCTAAATGTTTTCCTTGCAACTTATGGTATATTTTTGCTCATTTAGCAACTGTTTTGCACGATTTACAGTATGGTTGAAAACTTTTTTTTTTGGAAACGGCCGAAAATTCATGCGCTCGCAGATGTCATCCATATATTAATCAAATCAAGATGGCCTAAGTCAGAAACATCGATGCTCGTCTGATGCTGACCCAATAGGAGAAGCACAGGGGTTAGGAAGGCTGGTTGTGAATGTAACTCATGACTCAACACTTAGGTGGCGTCGTGTGGTGTAGTGGTACATCACTGGACTACAAATGTATGAAACGGGGAGACCCGGGTTCGATTCCAGGGTCGTACCCGAACAAGTCCGAACATGCGCCCCGACGTTGTACCCTTGGGAAAGGTACTTTACACGACTTTCCTCACTTCACTCAGGTGAAAATGAGTACTTAGCTTCGGCTAGGGACGTCCCTCGGATAGGACGTTAAATGGAGGTCCCGTGTTTGGGAGAGCCACACCCCACACACGTTAAAGAACCCACCGCACTTATCGAAAAGAGTAGGGGACCTTCCCGGTGTGAGTGGTTCAAACATTACAGTCTGGTCTTGGGGTTGACATCTTTGAAAAGGTGATAGTCACCTGTTATGTCAATCCTTCCACAAATGTGGTAAATCTTAATAAATAAATAAAAATAAAAAATAAATAAATAACTTACCGTTAGGTGAAGCCTTGAAAACTGCTATATACTGAACTGTATTCAGCTATCTCGGAGACTGTTCCTGGCAAAATTGCTGGTCAGGAGAAACTTTGCTTTCTGCTGACAGTAATACAATTGACATATGACAGAAAAACGGCCGCTGGCTAGAACCCTGAAGTCGGGTCTGTGAGGTGTGGTGCTCCCAACTGGTAGACTAATCAATAGATTAAGCCACACCAATTTAATTTCTTGGTTAACGGATTTGTCTAAAAAAATAATGGAGCGGGCGGGCGAAAAAAATAAATGAATAAAAACAGGCCCAGGCATCGTATTATGGCCGAAAATGGTACGATAGGAGCCATGAAGTCAACACACCAGGCTGGTTGAAAATTGAAACAATGAATTTTGAACTTTTAATGATACCATTGCATTGAAAGATGGAATAACTGTAACAACTAGGATGACAAGGACTGTTTTCAATTGTTCAGGGCAAAATATGAGCATTTTGCAGTTGATTCTGGATTTTTATTTTTATTTGCAAATCAGAAAAAAATGAAGCGGCGAATCCGTTAACCAAGAAATTAAATTGGGGTGGCCTTAAGAACAGATGAAACAAAATATACACTTTTGTACTTTTCTCTTTAATCTCATCTCATGCTGATCTGCTATGAGTTGGTTGGATGTTTATTAATTTTTTTGCCATAGGCCGCCCACTATGCTCACAGAAAATTCTTTGATGGCAAGAATTCAGCCTTGTGCAATATGTGATTTATTTATTGATCGATAGATAATGTTTCTGTAAGATGTACTAAAGGCATCCTGTATTCCCCTACAGAGGACACCAAGCTGAACTAAATGATCACATTGAGAAGTTGGATGCTGCTGTCAAATAGAACAACTGCATGCAGTGACAGACATATTTAGTATGATAACTTAGTCAACCTTTTTATCAGTTTAATAGCTGTTTATCAGGTCTTGTAAGGTGTCAGTATCTCTAAATTCTTCATTGATATCTAGAAAGAGTATATCGTCATAACTTTGAGTGAGAAGATGTTTTGTGAGATATCTTATTTAGTATTCAGATTGTTTATTACAAGGTTGATGGTGAAGTGTCACAGGGATGTTTTAGTAAAAAAAGTACAATCTGAAGATCAGCACCAAGGACAGGGTCAATCATATCACTTGTGGCACTTCATCTTCAACTTTTTTTTAATTGAACTGTTGTCTAATTTACTACTATGCTTAATTACCAACTGTATAGAGGAAATATGACACCATCATATAAACTGGATAACATTGTTTTGAATTGGATATTTTAATATCTTTTTCATATTTCCATATCAACTCTTGAAGACAATACAACCAGGCTTGAGGCATGAGAGCAATAGATGTACCAATAATGTAATGAAGCATTCAAGAACAGGCATCACATCAAAACTATCCATACAAAACTGTCAAATGTGAAGAAGCCATGTCATAGGTCACACTTGAATTTTTTTTTATTCATCAATAAACATACAATATACAATGTAGTGAACCATCCCATTACCTAATAATAATAATCATAATGATGAAATAATAACAATAATAATTCAATTCATATCTGATGGTAATAAAAGTGATCATAATAATAAGTGGTCATAATAATAAGTAATCATAATAATAAGTGATCATAATAATAAATGATCATGATAATAAGTGATCATAATAATAACTGATCAAAATAATGATCATAGTAACTCAACTCATAACTGATCATGATAACTAATAAAAAAATAACTGATCAGAATAACAATAATAATCATAGTAATGACAATAATAATGCAACTGATCATAACTGATCATAATAATAACGATAATCATAATAATCAATGATCATATATTTCATATCATAATTCAAATAATAATATTGATAATGAAAACACTCAAGAACATAAGGTACCCCACACTTGAATTGTTTACTCTTGCAGTCTTATTGTATGCAATAAAGGGATATCAAATGAAGCACTAATGCAACACATTCTAACTTGGTGAATAAAATGAGGGTGAAAAAAATCATATGTTTGTATCATTTATGTTTTTTTGGACAAGTCTGTGGAAACTATGGCTTGTAAGCCAGTCTATTTAGGCTCCTGGCCTTTTATATTACTGTTGAAAAATACAACCGATTGAAAAAATAAAATTTGAGCACTTTAGTATTACTTCTTTGCAGGAAACCTTGTGTGAACAGTTCAAGCCAGGAGAGAAAAATGTAAAAGGAATTATTCCCCCCAATAGCAAGAATGCAGGCATGAACTGATACAGAAACTTTGGATTGATTAATTCTCTACCACCCCTCCCTTTCTTTTAGACTTAATCTTTCATTGTTATCTCTCTTTTTAATTTAGTAATCTGTATCTAAATCAATGAGACTCAAAGAATAATCTTCTATCTTACAATTCCAGTCAGAAAGAAATCCTGCTTCTATAGTTCTGAGGCATTAAAATCACCATGGATCAAAAGAGCCCCATAGTACAGCAAAACAAATCACTGCAGTAGCTCATTGGTTAATAGCGCCATGGATCAAAAGCACCCCTCAGTGCCCCTGAACAAATGACTGAAGACACAAAACATGGTAT